CTTGACGAGGTTGAGGATGATGATGGGCGATCCGAACCTCTGCAGCATCTGATCGAAGTGAAGAGCCGCGACATGAGCGTACGGGTCGGCCTGGTCCACTGCACAACACAACAAGAGCATAAAAGTCTTTACACTAATGCTTTACATTCAGGTGATCAACTTACAGGTTTACCATCATGAAGAGGGTTTGGTCTATAGATGTCACGAGGATGACATGAAACCCGAGTCATTTTGAAAGCAAAGCCATCTATGTTTAGTCACAGCTCCAATCTGCTTGAATGAGAAACTTCCAGAAGTCGTTCACATTTTACGTGTTAAATCACCCCCCCAAAAATATGTTCAGGTTGGTTCAGTTAATGCCATTTTAAAATGGAAAACAGATTTAAACTAGGGCTGCACGATTTGGGGAAGATGTCATATTGCGATATAATAATCAAATGGTTTCATGAGTCAACTTGCTTGGTTCTAAAGCAAAATGCACACACAGATTAGTGATAATGCTGAAATGTGTATTTCTCAACTCAAACTAGCAACAACAACTAAATGATTGATAACACCTATAATGACCAATACGCCATTGATGTCTGGATAAAAAGTTGTAATATTTTCATGGCAGATACAGTTCATAATGAAGCATTTAATAAAATTCAGCTTATAAAAAGGCTCCATTCAGTACAACTTCGCAACTCTATAAAACACTATTTAGCTGTGTGTGTGATAATATAATATAATATATTGTTAGAATCATGTCTTTTAAAGTTGGTAAAGACCTGTTGATGCCAGAGACAATAATTCAATCAACTTTATTTATTGAAAAGTTGTTGATTTTCTTTCGTTTAGCCACCATTTTTTCTCAATTGTTCTCATTAAAGACATTAAAGTCCCCCTGTAGTCAATAATTTTATCCCTTAAAACTTAAAGGACATATATAAATTCATCATGTCTTAAAATAGCTTGAATGTAACTCGACACCCTCGCCTCATTTAGTATGCGCGGTTCTATGAATATGGAAATGAGCCCTGCCTCCACTCACTCCCTCAGCTCAGAGATCCACTGGTTGACGATCACACGTTGATCTGATTGGTTACAAGGTCGTTTGTGACGTCAGAAACACCAGCGATTTCACACCGTGTTTTTGAGACTGTCTTTGGTTCACTGCAGTTTTAAGCAGAAAATACTCAGCAATGCTGTCGACTTATGAACTTACACATGGTTTGTCTTAAAGCGTATTAAAAACGCCACATAGACACATAAACAACATTAAACGCTTGATTTCCAACAAAGGGGGGACATTTCCAAAACAATCATTTCAAAATAAATCTACAGAATCATTATTATTAATATTAATATATGGAAGCCCATTTCCACCACACAAAGATGACATAAAAAATCATAATTATGACAAAGTCAAAAAATTAGGAGACACCAAGTCATTATCATGAGCTTCTGAGATAAAAAGTCAAGAACTTGAATTATTTCTAATACAACACAGATTGTTTCAAAGCAGCTTCACAGTAATAATTGTATATGCGAACATCAAATATGAGACTAATTTAATTTCTGCTATAAATCAGCTCTAAAAAGACGAGTGTCATTTTTAATTTGAGTTCCATTACAGTCAATGTAAAAAAAAAAAAAATCATCAATTATGAAAAAAATTTGATTAAGCTATAAAGCAGCTCTATATAAGACAATAATGTCATTATTCAAATCAACTCAGTTCAAGATTAGTTCCCATCTGCAGTCAAATCAAGAATATAACTGACTATAAAAAGGCATAATGACACAATTTTGACTTTTTAATCATAATTATATGGCTTAGTATCTCATAATTTGAGGTTTTATCTCATATTAAAATGGGCTTCCATAAGAATATGACGTGAGCCACTATGTGGGTCATAAGTCCGCCACAATCCAGTTACAAACCTATAAACAGATTCGAGCACAACACACAACACACTTCTAGAAGTAGGTTATTAGAGCGAGGTTCTCTTGCATACACAAATCTCCCTTTTACACGAATTCATTAACGCCACACAAAGCATATTCAGAGTCGGCGTAATCAAATCCTTGTTCACTGAAAAGTCCTTGAAGCAGGTCAGACAAAACTCATGGAAATGGCAGCGTGATGCAAGCTAGCAGTGAAAGAGAAAACTCACGACTCATTATCTCACACAAACAATCAATAAAAGCGGGCCAAGCATTGAGCCTTGCGTAACTCCCTTTCTCCAGTTTTTGTTCAGCAGAAAATCAATGTTATGTTGAAGCTGTTTGTGCGAACGGTGTTTTGAGCCTATAACAAACTGACCTACAGTAATTACAGAAATCACAAACACATCTTTGTCAGACGGAAGGGCATTGAGTCTGGCAAATTGCATAACGAATTAGAAAGATGAGAGGATTACGAATCGGGAAATTAAGAAAATCATATATAATTCACATTAACTAAGAGCTTTGAGTATTCGAGTGTCATTTCTGATATAACCCACAGGATAAAACTGTCGAACAGATTTGAAAAACGAGGCCAGCATGATGTTTATGTGTGGATTGGGGTTATTAGGATTAGTTCAATTAGCCAAAAAAAGTAGGCTCACTATTGGCCGACGCTGGTCATGTGTGTGATGCGATTTAACAATGTCTTTAATAACTTTCTGTTCCGGCAAGTTTCAACTACAATAGAAGCCTATGGAGGAGTGAGACAGCTCTCAGATTTAATCACAAATATCTTCATTTGTGTCCCGAAGATGAAGGAAAGTCTGACGGGGTTGAACAACACGAGGGAGAGTCATTACTGACAGAGTTTACATGTTAGGGGGAACTATCCCTTTAAGTCTTACCAATTTAAACATTTTAAATAATTTTAGTACAAGAAGAGGTGAAAGAAAACTCGGTTCCACTTTATTTCGATAGTCCACTTTAGACATTCTAAGTAACTTTGCAACTACATGTCAACTAACTCTCATTAGAGTATTAGTAGACTGTTAGGTTAGGGTTAGGGTTCGGGTTAGGAGAATAAGTTGACTTGTAGTTGTAAAGTTACTTATAGTCAGTGGAACATTAGAGTTATCAGATATTAAGCAGACAGTCTACTAATACTCTAATGACAGTTAGTTGACATGTAGTTGTAAAGTTACTTATAGTTTGTCGAATGTCTAAAGTGGACTATCGAAATAAAGTGTTACTGAAAACTTTGCCAATAACAGACTACAGCTCTGCAATGCTTTCAAACCATTGATGCATAAAACAATGAGTTGGACAGGAATCTCGTTTAAACCGGAAACATCCAAACACACACACACACACACGGAGAGGTAGAGGACGCTGGCGGTAACCAATCTTAGATAAGCAGCGAGCGCGCAGCTGGATCAGCGTGTGTGTGCCTGAGACGCTGTGCATATGAAATGTCATCTTGCTCTGGAGGAGAAGCGGTGAAATGAGTTCAGCAGACACAAGACGAGTCCATGCAGCGGAAAACTAATGCAAGAGAAGATGAGACATCCTCAGACGGCCCTGGGGACGTCATTAAACAGACAATAATCTGCTAATACATAGAAAAACCATAAATAGCAAACCTGTTTTGAGGTTAAATTGGGCTGGATAAATTCTTGTGGTTCCTCAACTAAAATATCAATTTAACCAATACGTAATAATAACATCTGCGACCCTAACTAGATGCTTCCGTATAGTACATATTATAGAATATTAGATTTGACTGTTCAGTGGGACAGGATTAGATTCTATGATATATGCATGCATGTAAATTAATTACGTTACATGTAATGTTCATGGTCTTTTTAGACAGGATAAGCGAAATATAGAAATAGTTAAGATCGGTGGGTCTATTCCATGTAGGAAATAGGAAATCTGTCGGAAATATTAAGGAAATATGCATATGTAGGAAATATATTTCTGGGATTACTAGCAGGAATGTATTTAAATATACAATAAATATTACAATTATGGCTGTTGATTTAATGCATTAATTTAAATAATTACTTAAAATACAGCACCCGTTCATCTTACATTATACAGTTGATGGATGAACATGAAGCAGAGTCAATAGAATTCAGTAGAATGACCCTAAAATGTAAGATATCAGGGAAAAAATGCCCTTGTATGAGTTTTTGTCTCATATTTATATCATGATATAGTTGAGCAATATCACACGAGTGCTGTTATTGTCCAGAATAGCACGAGTGCAAACGCAGTAAATAAGAAGTTAATATTATGTTATATTTTAGACACAATATTGTCTGTTTTTGCTCAAATTTGCCAATGAAAATATTAACTATAAAGCGAGAGCAGAAGTGTTGTGTGTCTCAGAGTAACACACAGCGGTGCTTCGTTTCTGAAGGAATCAGCGTTTTGAGTGAATCAATCAGGTGAACCAATGATTCAATGACTCATTCATAAAGAGAGCCATTTACTTAGTTCCTGAATGAATCAGCCGTTTGAACGAATCAATTGGGTGAACCAATGATTCAATGACTCATTCATAAAGAGAGCCATTTACTTCATTCCTGAATGAATCAGCCGTTTGAACAAATCAATCGGGTGAACCAATGATTCAATGACTCATTCATAAAGAGAGCCATTTACTTCATTCCTGAATGAATCAGCCGTTTGAACAAATCAATCGGGTGAACCAATGATTCAATGACTCATTCATAAAGAGAGCCATTTACTTCATTCCTGAATGAATCAGCCGTTTGAACAAATCAATTGGGTGAAACGATTCAATGACTCATTCATAAAGAGAGCCATTTACTTCATTCCTGAATGAATCAGCCGTTTGAAAGAAAAATCGGGTGAACCAATGATTCAATGACTCATTCATAAAGAGAGCAATTTACTTTATTCCTGAATAAATCAGCCGTTTGAACAAATCAATCGGGTGAACCAATGATTCAATGACTCATTCATAAAGAGAGCCATTTACTTCATTCCTGAATGAATCAGCCGTTTGAACAAATCAATCGGGTGAACCAATGATTCAATGA